CAAATGTAATAAGCTTGACAGAGTAAATACTTCAATAGTTCTAAAGTATGTTCACTTGATTGTCAGGGAATCTCAACCCATGATATTAAGATAAACATATGGCAATAGCAACTATAATAGGAAGGGTTTCAAGAAGAAGCTAAGACTTGGAAGCAGTTAAGGTAATAATTACCTGACTCTCCCACTAATAACGTATGCTTAGTGTGTTCAATGACTTTTCTCGCTACACCAATTGCATTTTTTACACGTCTCAGATCTGCAACTGCCCCAACTTCCATAGTGTTGCTGAAAACAAGAAATATTTAAAGCCTACTTAGATAAGTTAATTAAAAAAAAATGCACAAATGTTCTTATATTTTTATTAAAACAAAATCTGTTCCAATATAAAATTAGAAAGTTTGCCATTTTAATATGTTGCTTTAATTATTCTATGGTAAATAATCATGGACAGATAGCATCACACTAGTGGGGTAAAATGTCATATATAACGTAACTTCCTTGCACAGAGTGGGGAGGTATTAAGGTATTACTTAAGTAGCAACAACTCCAGGCAAAATAATATTTTATTATTAGTCATGGTTTAAGAGTAACTATTTAATTACATAAACTTACGAACCAAACAAACACTTGTCATTCTTTTTGGGGCAGGACGAGCCTGAACAGTAAATAAGGAAGACAGAACTGCTATACAGCTAAAATATTCATGGAATAAATCTAAAGAGAAAGCTTATGATGCTACAAGCACGAAAATTGTAGCTTTGTTACCATCTGCCTTTATCTTAGCCGCTCTATCTACAGCTGAACTATTGCAGTGCATGTTCAGATACAATAATGAACATACCTAGTTACTCTTCGACCATTCAGGCATGTATTTTTCTAGCTCCACAAGTTAATATTTTAACTTGTCCAAACTCAGCCCTAAATCAACAGATCTCCATAACATCCCTTGTAATCTTCGCCATGCCTTAATACAGGGATGTTTCTTTTTCCACCACGCGGTTCTCTTACCCATCCATAATCATTGCATCCAGTGTTGTTTCTCCACTTTCATCTGGGCTTCCTCCGTATCCCACGCTCCCATCACACTGGTCAATCTCACACTGTGCACAGCCTTTTTCGACCGCATCCAGCTCAGAGCCTCCCATCTGCAACACTCTCCACGCTATAAGCAACACAAATAATTAAATGTTAACAGCGAGGACAGCCTGCGCAATTGCATTAGGAATGTTTCAAAGACGGATGCTATGAAGTCGCATTATGTAAGCTGATGAAGTAAAACGTAATTTGCAAGCGAAGCAGGTATATGCTTAAAAGACCCAAAACACAAAATATTACTTCTCTAAATACTGTTTTGCTTGCATGTCTGATCAGTGTTTCTGAGAAATTGAACTTTTTTTTTTCCCCATTTTTAAATGAAAAGGTATTATTTACCAACAGTCATCATAAATTCTCTATATTAAATAACTTCCCCTGTCCAGGGCTTTATCACCCTCTAAAGTGCTTTCTGTTTGTTTTTTGGGGAGAGTGGGAGGAGAACAGGGAAGAAAAGAGGGAGAAGATTTAGCAAGACTCTTATCTCAAAGAAGAGAAACAAGTTGTAACAAACAGTGCTCAAAAGCTCCCTCAGACTTTAGCTGGGCTAAGTGGCCAGCCACAGAAAATACCCAAATTATACATCTAAACCTAGTATCAATGACAATACATAAAAGCAAAAAAGAAATTTAAACCAAGTAATCAATAACAGTCCCCACTTTCTCCTACTCAACCCTCAGGCAATGCCTTCTACTTCTTTAATATCTAACTCATGGCCTAGTTCGGTGAGTCATCACTGATGTGTCAAACATGCATGACTTTAATAAACCACCCTGCAGGCTTTGCTCACGAGAGCAACTTTGCTCCACAAGATGGGACCTCGGGCAAGATTTCCCAAGACGCAGGAGCACCGAGGGCTGCCGTGCAGCTTCTCCTCCCTTGCTGCCTCTGCAGAGCCCAGTCTCTTCTTGGCAGCTGCAAACTATTAGGTTGCCTCAACCTTCCACAAAACCCCTCACCTTCAAAAACGCTGACTGCAACTGCCTGAAATTGGCAGGTTGTATGAAGGAAAAAATAATACTTAGCAAACGCTTGTCTGCATAACAAACTCCAGGGTGAGCAGTACTGTTCCAACCCCCATTATCTTTTATTTCAGATACTGCCATAAATTGCCAATAAAAGGTCTTGTTTCCAAGACAGTATTCCAGTTCTGACCTACCCAAGGCTCTACGGAACCCCTTTCACCAGCAAGGCAGCACCACAAGGAGTTATTTACAACATAACTGTGGTAACAGAGCTCCTAATTGCTAGCCAGTATCCACAAATTATTTCCAGTGGCGCAGTTACCACAGAAAAACCTGCCTTTACTATTAGTAATACTTCACAAAATAACAAAGGTCAAAAACACAATATTCAACATTATCTAAATGTTCAAGCAGGAAGAATGAGTATCACAGGCACCACTAAAAATAAATATCTATTTTTAGCAGCAGCAACATAAACCATATTATTAGGGAAGGATATCTGTATTTTAAACCTAGCTTTCTCACTAGTTTACACAAAATCCGTTTCAGGTATCCATACCCCAGCACCAGGCCAGGAGCCAGCCCCCCACCCCAGTGCATAGTAAGGCTTTGCTTGCACAGTTCCCCTCCTGATAACGCTCCTGCGCGTTTCCGAGGTTTTGGGGTTTTTTCTTTTCAACATTTTTGCCGTTTTTAAGCCGGCAGCGGCAGCCTCCGCCCCGGGCCGCCCGCGGCGCCCCGGCCTGCCCACACCTGTGTCCGTGGCCTTCCCAAACGCCCAGGTGTTCACGACCAGCGGCAGCGCAGCCGAGGCCGC